GGGAACAAAGGAAAGCAAGATACGAGGTCAGGGGCCTCTGGGCAGCATACAATAGACAGCTATGCCATTAATGGCCTTGGGATTCAGAGCAAGTCACCACTCCCTTCCACTATATTTGAGGCAGTTAAGATGAAAGGATCACAAGGGCTGATGCATGGAATGAAGACCTTTTGTGCAAAGTTGTCCACTCTGACTCATATTCCAGCAAGATCTAAGGATACTTAGATACTGGGGGCAGATTTGTTATGGTACATTGGGGATTGACTGGAGGTACTGAATGAACGTGATGAAGAACCATGCTGGAACGTAGACCCGTGTGAGAAACTCCTAGAGAGCAAAATAGAGTTAATGAAGTCAGTAGGGAAGTTGGGTAAGAAAAGAGCCGTGTCCTTAACAACAGAACCCCTTCTTCGTAGGTTTCGTTCTAGCATCATCTCCCTCTGGAAAGAGGCATGAGCTAGACATACTTCAAAACATCCCTCCCCAGAAGGTTTATGGTGCCAATAGAATGAGTATGATTTACAAGCTTCTAAAAATTCATTCCCAAAATATCCATTAAGGACCACATGACAACTAAGAAACAGAATTGTATAGAGATTTGAAAACTATTAAAGGTTGGTTGGATGCTCCAACCATTTGGGTAAATTCGAAATTCTGAAAAAAAGACATTGAAAAAGCATCAGGGCTAAAGATGGGTAGAGTAACCCTGATGTCAAGCTTTAACTAGTGTAACCCCAAGTTTCCAGTTCTAATCCTCTTACTTCATTTTTAGGTACAGCAAATATCTTCTCAATTTCCCCAGAGCACCTTTAATTTTGTTTGGAGATGAAGGCTGAATTAGCCTGATCAGGATTTAACTACAGCCAGTATTTGCACTCAATAGTGCTTATTTGAAAAGGGTTGTGCAGAAAACACAACTTCCTGATTATGAGAGGTAGGGTAAGTTAGACAGTGCCTTTAGGAGCTGGACCATTATCCTGCCGTGTTTCTCTGTGCTATAAGGCTCTGGTGGCTTGAGATGCTTTATCTCACTCAGATCTTTATCAGACACATAGCTGAGGAAACATTTCAGGAGGATATGTTTGCTACTTCCTTGAAATCATGTGGGTGTATGTGCTTAGAGCCCCCAGAAAGCCCAGCCCCTAAAGAATGAATTAAACAAAATGAGAGGCTCATCCTTTGGATGCTCATTCTTGGTGTTTCACTGAAAGTTGTTACTGTTTGTTTTGACATAGTGGGATAAGGATAGCAAAGGTGAAGACAACAAGGTGACAGCGACAACTACAAGGAGGACGACGAAGAAGAAATAAAGTTGGGAGGGGGAAACGTTGATGAAGTCTGGGAGAGTTAGAGGGGAGACATAAGGGGAGTGGGCATGATCATTGCAAATAGTGTAAATGTATAAAACTCTCAGCAATATGGGCTGGAGAGATGGCTCAGTGGTTAACAGCACTGTCAGCTCTTCGAGAGAGACCTGGGTTCAGCTCCCAGCAATCACTGTCTGCAGCTCTAGTTCCAGGGAATCCAACAGACATTCTCACACAGACATACATTCACACCAAATACCAATGCGCATATGATAAAAATAAATTAGTTTTTAAAAGAATTTTTAGAATTCTAAGTTATGCGACAGTATTTTAAAAGAAAAGGATGTTGTTGTTTAAAAGCCACTGGAGTGCTTAAGCAGAAGGTCTTGCTGGGTGAAAGTTAGTCATTAGGAGCAGGCCTGGGAAGATGATAGCCACCCCCAGTTCTAACCTCAAGCACTTAGCCTCCTTGTCCTCCATTTGAGTAAGCCACAGCTGCATACTTCTGATCCCACAGACCACGTTACTCCACTTTACTTTCCAGCTGTCATGGTATGGTGGTTTGAATGAAAAAGTCCCCCCCATGGGCTCATAGAGAGTGGCACTATTAGGAGGTGTGGCCTTGCTGGAGTAGTGTTTCTGTTGGAGGGAGTTGTGCCACGGAGAATAGGCTTCGAAGTCTCAGACGCTCAAGCCAAGCCCAGTGTCATCCTCTCTTCCTGTTGATTGCTCAGCCAGACCTAGAACTCTCAGCTCCCTCTCCAGCAACATGTCTGCCTGCACGTTGCCATGCTTCCTGCTGTGGCAATAACAGACTACATCTCTGAAACCGTGGGCCAGCCCCAATTAGACGTGTTTCCTTTATAAGTGTTGCTGTGGTCAGGGTGCCTCCTCACAGCAGTAGAAACCACTAAGACAGACGGATTGTGACCATCTGAAACAAGGCAAAGCGAGTCTTTGAATTACTTCTGCCTGGTGTTTTGTTACAGTGATGAAAAAAAGTACATAATGCAAAGGGTTTGTTCAAATCTATTGAAGTAATTATGAACCGATTCTCTCCCCACACCTCTCTCTGAGGCAGAGTTTTCACACTATAAGCTATATAGCTAAAGACAACCTTGAACTCCTGATTTTCTTGCATCCAACCCCCAAGCACTAGCATTACAGGTATGCACAACCAGACCCAGTTACTCAGTTTGGGAGATCAAAGCCCAAGAAATCTCATGAACTCCAGACAAACATTCTGCCAACTGAGTTAGCCCCTAAGGTTCTTAAATCGCCAATTTAGAAATGTCTTCCTTGCATGAGAAGTTTTGTATTTCCTTTATTCTATCTGTGCACACAGAAAAACAATGTTAAAAGAGCCCCAATCTGAACTAACAACAATTTGAGCTATCTTGGGTTTTCCGCATCCAGAGAGTTAGTCTATTACATTTTTCCAAATCTAATTCTGTAGTCATAAAGCCAGCTAGGATTTCAGAGCACAGCTGATCAGCAGAAGATTTCAAAAACAAGTTATGCATTCTTTACTGCCCGGTGAAGGAATCACTTCCTAAGAAACTTTAAGTAGTTCAGGAAGGCATCACCCCAGCCTCTCTCTTGTAATCATATGCATGTAATCATATGAATGAGAGAGTCCCTCCTAAATAAAACTTAATTGATGGAGTCCCTTCCTGACTTGAAATAAAGACCCCTGAGACTTCAACATGGGTGTCTGAGGGTCTAGATACATGAAGAATTGTTAAGGAAAGATAACGGTACATGGGGTATGAATACTGATGGTCAATTTATTAAAGAAAACCACTCACAAGAGAAACTGATAACCAGATTGGTGCTCTGAGAAATCCAGTCTCAGTCACACTCTGGAACCCTGAAAAGAGGCCGAGTGCCTCTCTCCTCAGCCCTTTATTCCACATGCCTGTATGCACCTGTAGCCACTCCCAAAATGGGCGTGGTCATCGGCACAAGTGCCTAGGTCTCTTCCTACAATTCCCCTTTTAGTCTAAAGAAAAGATTTAGACTTGAAACAAAACTAAATTGTGTCAATATACAAAATGTCTTAAACATATACAAAGCATACATACAAGATAATAAGGATATTTATGTGTCAAACATTGTGAATAGAAAGAAGACCTTACACAGTATGACAAATTGCAGTATACAAATTATAAATCACCAGAAGAGGGCTGGAGAGATGGCTCAGCCATTAAAGGCTAGGCTCACAACCAAAATATAAATCACCAGAAGATATAATAATCTACCTATATCCCATTCTAAGCATATCTATCCCTTCTAAACCTTAAACTTATCTGAAAGAGATGCCCAAGTCTGAACACTACCTTCCAATCCCAACCCTAAACAATTGAAAACTAACACTTAAGCACGTGTAAATTATCCTGTAATGTCAGCAGTAGGGGAAGGGGGCATAGTATTCTCAGAATTACTTCCTGCTGAAATGAGACGACAATAACCTCATGGGATCCTGCAGGAAGAAAATGTTAGTGTAGTGAAAGTCCTGAGTGAACTAGCTACATCATGTCCCTGTTCGGGTGCCATCATGTAAGGAACATTCTTCCCAGCAGCCTGGTCCCAGAGCCGCATCAACCCCAAGTAACACACAGAGACTCTATTAGTTACAATGCAGTTGGCCAATGTCCAGGGCTTCTCATTGGCTAGTTCTGTCTTAAGTATTAACCCATAACTACATATATATGTGTGTGTGTGTGTGCGTGTGTGTGTGTGTGTGTGTGTGTGTGTGTTTCTATAAGGTCATATCTTACCAAGGACACCAGCCTCATGCATCCTTTCTTCCTGAGATCACATGGTGACTCCCTGCTCTTGACTACATTTCCCAGAATCCTCCTCTACTCCTAGTCCCACCTATCTTGCTTCCCTATTGGGCAACAGTGCTTTATTCATCAGCCAATAAGACACACATATACACAGAAGGACTTCCTCCAACAAAGAATTACCCAATATATCTTTACAATGTCGGGGAGACAACTAAGACTTGGTGCCTCTTGTAGTTGTCTCCACACTAACAGCCTAAAACAATAAGAGAAAAGAATCAAGGAAGTTACTTCAGATCTCACTCCTGACACACACGCACTAAAAAAAAATCTTCAAAACTTCACTGTAAAATAGTTTAAAAGTAGAAGAAACAAATAGAAAAATTTCAAACAGGGGGTATTGCAGTCTCAGGTACTAAATGATGGTGTACTCTGAAGGAACAAAGAGAAGGGATAGTTTATGTGGAGAACCGTGCTGCCCACATTCTCATGAGAATAGAAATATGAATAGAATAGGATAGCAATAAAATCCAATATACAGATAAAGGATGTAAGAATTCAGGAAGTGCTCAACCTGACTGGTTGATTGCAAACAACAGTTCATTGGCCAGGCCCAGGTGGTAAAATTGCAGAGGCTGTTGATCTTGGCAGTTAAAACAGGAGTACATCCAGATGAGGGCCACAAAGTTTAGTGTATGGTTCTTTCAGGAACATGGAGTACATGTGACCCTCCTATACACACCAGACACCAGTCAGTAAATGGCTACTCTGCTCCATTCAGAACTGAGGTCCAGTGATTTGGGACCTGTCTGCTTTTCTCTAATCAATCTCTATCTCTATCTTTATCTCCCTCCCTCCCCTTCCACCTCCCCCTCCCCCTGCCTTTCCCCCTTTCTCTCCCCTTCTCTCTTCCTCAAATGATGGCCTTCAACACCCCTTAGGCTTCTGACCACTTCTTGCCAGGATAACATTTTAGGTCAATGGCAGTCTTAGATCCGTGTCTGTCTAGTTTCAAAATAGATGAATAACACAACCCCCAGAACCTCAAATGCAAAAATCTCTGAATCCAACCTAGACTCTGCAATTTGCTCTTTCTCCACAGGCCAAACAAAAACTAATTTTAAACAAACCACCACCACCAATCTTGGGGTGGGAAAGTGCCCAGAAAAGCCAAACAACATCGCACGGAGACTAGCACACTCCACCCAATGGCTGGGGAGCCTTTCAAGGACTAGCCACTGGTCTAGGGCTGGGAAGACATCCAATCTACCCTGAAGTCCTCTTCTCAACATAGGATTAGGAAATCCAGCTCATCCAGCCAAGTAAGTATCCTCCCCTGTCCTTTGTTTTACAGTGAGCTCTAAGGCCTGAACTCCTATAGTGGAGGAACAGAAACAACAAATTTCTACTTAAAATTATATGTGAACATAGTGTGTGTGTGGGGGGGGGCACTCATGTACACAGCAGAGGAATCTACTGTTCAGGCTCCCCAGAAAATATAATCTAGACCACACCCCTCTATATATATGCATGTATTATGTATGTATGTATTATAAATATGTGCTTATAGTAATATAATTTGTTATAGAATGCATATGATAACATGTAATAGTACGTACTATAATACACTTTTACTCAATATACAACAGCTATAACTTGTGTATATGAAATACAATAATTATAAAATAATACAATAACATAGTAAAAAACACAAATACATGTTTGCTTGTGGAGTTTCTGGGTCTGGCTTGTACAATAGTGGGAGATGAGAAAAGTCTGACCTCCACAGGGCAGGCTGGAAACTGAGGCAGGAGTGGATGTTGCCATGCAGAGTTTTTTCTCTGGGAAAAGCTGTATCTCTTCTCAAGGCCTGCAATCAGATGAAGTTCACCCACATTTTTGGGGGTAACCTGCTTTACATAAAGTAAATGGGATTAAATACAGGTCATGTCACAAAACACCTTCTTGACAACCTTCAGACTGATGCACGATTAAAGACTGATGGCAGCCGGACATCCAAGACAGCAACAAGAAAAGACATCACAGTATTCAGTAGCTTTGCTGGTGTCTAAACTGCTGTGAAATTCTTGCATCGGTGACTAGGGAGATGTCCCAGTGTTAAACACTTACTATGCAAGTATGAGGAACAGAGTTCTGATCCCCAGAACCTTTGTAAAATGCCTGGTGTTCATGGTGACCTGACTGTAATTCTCCAGCCTTGGAAAGAGATAGAGGATTCTCAGAGCAAGGCCGGTAGGAAATCTAGCCATATCAGTAATATGCTGGTTTGACTGAAAGATCTGCCTCAATGATTCTACACATCAACCTCTGACCTTCATATGCATGCAGACACACACACACATGCAACCTTCCATACATGTACCCCCAAACATGCATACACATATTTGTGCTATAGACATATACAGATGAAAATAGAGAAGGGTTCCTTTATCAAAAAGGCTTTGGCTATGTACAATCTTTGGGAATCTGAGATATGGGGTATAATGTTTAATCTTGACTAGATCTGGAGCCAACTAGGAGATACCAGGAGCTGTCTCTGGACAGCTCTGTGGATGTGCTTTCAGGAAAGATTAACAAATAGAAAAAGGCTTGCCCACCATAGAGGGTGTGAGGGACCTTCCAGCTGCAGCCCAGATGTGATGGGGGATGTCCTTCTGTATATATGTTTCTCTTATTGCTTGATGAATATAACACTAGGCAGTAGCCAGGAAGGAACATAGGCGAGGCTACCAGAGGAGGAGAATTCAGAGAGAAGCCATCAAAGAGACACCATGTAGCTACCAGGAAAATAGGATGCATTGGGCGTTCTCTGGTAAGATAAGGTCATGTAGAAATACATAGATTAATCGTTATAGGTTAATAATTAAGAGAGAGCTAGCCAGTAAAAAGCCTGAGCCATCGGCCAAACAGTTTATAATTAATATAAGTCTCTGTGTGTTTATTTGGGGCTAAGCGGTTGTGGGACCAGGCAGAACAGAAACTCTGTCTACACAGATGAAACACAGGGTTACTTGGTTACCTGCCTTTGCCTCTGACTGACTGTGGCTGTCTCTACTGGTGTTACTGCTGGTGCCATCCTCACTGGCATCAGACTCTTCTTCATACTCAGCCTCTGTCTTGGGTAGACAACCAGAACCTGTGTTCACTCTGTCCCACCCATTCCTCTAGAGAATCCTGACTAACACAAGAGGGCAGCTTCACCCCAGGGCAGGTAGTGCAGTGGAGACCTCAGGGTCCAGCTAGAGTTGAGATGGAGTAATTCACAGGCAATTCACTGGACACCACAGACATGACCGCAACTGACTGGGCTTATCTCAGTGGAATCAGTTTCTCAGTTCTTCTCTCCCACAGGAAGAAAACCCAAAGCTCAGAAAGATTGAGTCACCATATGAAATCACCCAGTAGTTTTGAATCTACTGCTACTAGTTACTAGGGTTCACAATGGTCCTTCAGATAACCATCGTCTGCCTGGATGGACTAGAAAAGTTTTATTTCTTCTACACTTTGTACCCACTTCCCTGCCTTTCCTCTCTTCGTCCTTTACCCCACTGTGACTTGCTACAACTGTGGCAGAGCCCCACTCCATGCACTGCCATGAACTTGGTGTTGTCTGTTAAGTGAGTGGTCATCCTAAAGATGGGTGCAGTTGAGATGCTCAGAGTCTTCCAAGGAACAACAAGCAGGACAAAACCTGAAGACAAGTTCTGAGTTTGCAAAAAGCGTTTGTTTGTTTTTAATCCAAAAACCTCAACTTTTATTCTGAACACAGCTAAAATACTGCCTTCAGTCAAAGGTGCCTTGGGAACATCTACAATTTCTGCCTTCACAACAATAAGGTTAACCCATACAACCTGCTGATGGAAATGTCTAGCAAATCCGCGCTAGAATCAAAAGATGCTGGCCAATTCAGCCCTGTGTTCTCAAGCAAATTGAGGACATCATCACAGTGATCTCTTCATGGAAGAAGGATCCAGCCTCACCCAGGACGCTCACTTGTCTAGTGTATTACACATGATGTTGACTTCTCAGCCTCTGTCCTTGACCTAGCTCCCAGGAAAAATGAAAACCTACTGTTGCAACACTTCAAATCAGAGGTCTTACATCTCTGCTTTGAGGAACAGCCAATAGAAATAGAGGTCGTGGCTGTCAATCAGGGTGTATTTTGCATGCACAAGGCAGTTTCCTCCAAGGGAATCAATACAAATAAGAAATGCCAGATGCTCCGGTCCACCGGAAGCTAAAGAACAAAAGTGCAGAATGGAAGCTGCCCGAACCCTAATTTAATCCAGGAGAACAAACAGGGAATCACTCAGCAGTCCTCAAACCCATGGCCAGAAGGGTATGCCCATGAGGCAAATAGTTTTATGGACCATCTCCCAACCTACTCCCTCCTGCCACAGAAACTAGATTAAAATGGCCCTTGATGACTTGGTGAATGACATTTTCGTGGGTTATGTTGATCTTGTGCTGTTTTTTCAGTGTAAAGTCAAATACACAATGGAAATTTTTTATTTATAAAGTGGCTACAACACTGCTATGTGAGGCTCACACTCAGTCTAATTCATGTCACTCAAGATTCTATTCAAATGCTACTTCCTCAAAAAGGCCTTCCTTGACCTCCGTCACCCAACACTCAGACCCTCAAAGTCTTAGAAAGTCTAACTTTCTTTCTGGCATTGACATGTTTCCCTCTTTATTAACGTCTGATTTCTCCTCCTTATTATAGTGAAGCCAAGTGACGATGAAGGCATCATTGTCCCTAGAGCTCCAATTACAGCAATCAGAACTATACCTGGGCACATACGAAGGACTCCAAAAATAGTTGTTGAATGGATGTACAAGTGGACCAACCCAAAAATCAAAGACTCTGAGGAAAACGAGCCATCTTGGGATTTGTCATCTGAACAAAGATGCTTTGGAGAGCTACTCTGAAAATCCTTTTTTTATTATTTATGTGTGCAATTGCATGTGCATGTATGTAGCCATGGGTGCCAGAAGAAGGTTATGATCCCCTGGAGATGGAGTCACAGTAGTTTTGAGTCCCCTAATGAGTGCTTGGAACCAAATTCCAGTCCTCTGGGAAAGCAGCAAGTTCTCTTAACCACTGAACAATCTCTCTAGTCCCTACTCTGAAATTTCTTGAGGATAGTTTCCAACCCCAAGTAATACGATCAACTTCTGTTACACAGTGTGGAACTCAGGTGTTCAGAAAACCAGCTGCGCAACCTTTCTAGGGCATGTAACATCCTTGGGGAAGGATATAGTGGAAAATATGAGGTCAAGAGCTAAAAATCAGATGGCCCAAATCCAAATCTCAGATCTGGCGCTTCCTACATGAACAGCCATGGAACATTCAGTTAACAACTCCATGTTTTAGTTTCCTTACCTATAAAACAGGGATGGTATGGATTGTGCCTGCTTTATAGAGTTTCGTGTAAGAAAAAGTAAGCAAATGTGTATGAGTCACATCTTCTGAGATGGAGGAAACATGTTACACTCATCATTATTTCCTTTTTAAAAGATTTGGTTTTTATTGTTTTTAATTGTGTGTATGTATGTATGCATGTGTGTGTGTATGTATGCATGTGTGTGTGTTAGCATTCACTTGTGAGTGCAGGTACCCTCAGAGTCCAGAAGATGTATTCCTTGGAGCTAAAGTTATAGGCAATTGTGAGCCATCCCATGTTGGCTCTAGAAACAAAACTCAGATCTTCTGCAAGAGGATTATTAACCCCAGAACCATCTTACCAGCCCCGTGCCGGACATTCTTTAAAATAGCAGTTTGAAATAATTAATGGAAAAATTAATTAATTAACTCAGTGCCAGAGCTTGAGTGAGATGGCACACAATGCCAGAGACACTCAAACACAAGCACTGGCCATGCACCTGGATGGTCTGGTATGAGTGGCTCCTTTTATTTTGTGTCTAATAGATTTCAATCACCCTGGTCCTGAATTTGCAAGAAATGTACATGTAAGAAGTAAAATAACCCTCATTTTAAAACAAACAGGGATCATTATAAAAAAGAAAAAAAGAACCACAACCAACCAAAATACAAAGAACAAGTGTCCACGTGGTGCCTATCCCCAACTGGTACATTCACAACACAGCTCCTGCACCTAAGACTCAGGGATCATAGCAGAACAGGGCACAGAAAGGCTGTAAGAACCAAGGGAACAGGTAGTCTGCTGTGCCATTCATTGTGCCTGCTAGAAATGTCAAAGCAGCTTCACTTGCAAACATCACATCAATACAACTGCCAAAACAAGACCTGAACAAAAATGCCACCCACAGACAAACTGGTTGTCCAATACCAAGGGGTCAGCTATACATACAAGTAGTAATATATGAACTAAGAAGACGGCATTTATACATTTAGGAATTTACTTACATGTGTGTTTATATAACAGCAGTTGCAAAGACATAGGCCATGAGCTTGAGCGATAGCAAGGCGGGGTACACTGGAAGGGTTGGAAGGAAGAAAGGAAAAGGTAGAAATGATGTCATTATATTTTAATTTCAAAAAATAAATGTACTAAAAATAGAAGTAAATTTAGCAAACAACTTCTAAATATTGTTTGTCTTGTGATGTAATGTTTACAGAACAAGTATAACTCAAGTTAAACGTGGGGCAAGAGAAGAGCTGTGGCTGGGAGGCAGCTGAACACATAAGAGTACCTGCTGTGCAAGCATAAGGGCCTGAGTTCAAATCCCAGGACCCACATAAAAAGCTGGTGTGTGTAGGTACCTGAAAAAACATGTGTAAGCATAAACATACACCACACACACCAAAACATAAATAACTAGTTTTACAGTATCTTAAGAGAAAAGTACAGGACCCGGTAAACAGCAAAGTTGGCATTTTTATTGTAGCCAATATACCCCCAGAAGCCTCTAGACAAAACCCTTGCTGAGGGCCAGCACTCCTCAGGTCTAATCTTCAGACATGCGCAGGAATCCCTGGGCTTACGAGTCCAAACAAATGTATACAAGGGGGACTTTTGACTTTATAGCAGTAATGAAAAAACTGTGAGTGTGGTGGCCCAGCACTCAGGACATAAGAAGCAGGTAGATCTCTGGGAGTCCCTGGCCAGTCTGATTCATATAGGGAGTTCTAGTTCTGCTAAGGCTACATAGTTAGACCCTGTCTCAGAGAGTGGGAGAGGACAGAGGAAGAGTGAGGTAGAGAGAGGGGGTGAGAGGGAAGGAGACAGGGAGGGGGAGAGAGATCAGCAGTTAAGAGCACTCAGCTTTTTGAGAGTTTCTGAGTTCCGTCCTCAGCCTCCACGTTGCATGACTCAGTGCCTGTAACTCCACCTACAAGGGGGATATAAGGTCCTCTTCTGGCCTCTGCAGGCAGTGTACTTAGATGTGCGTACACACACACACACACACATACACACACAGGGGTGGTAGGAAATTTAAAAAAATAAAGTCAACATTGGAGCAAAATGCATTGATAAATGTCTTTCTGGAGATATTTTTCTGCAAAGTCCATGAATAGTGGGAATAGCATGAGAAAGGATCATTGTGAAAGTTGCCCCCCCCCAAAATCGCCAGTGTGCAATTTGCTCAAGCTGACTTTTATGGAAAATGAGCAGCATGGGTCATCCCTACCTATCATGATACCTCGTGCTGTGCTCTGAAGATGTAATTGATCTTTCCTGGCTAAGCTCTAAATAATGCCAAATGCTATTGCTGTACACAGGCCACTGAAAGACTCCACAAGTTTGCTTCATCTCAATGTATAACTCTTCCCCTAAATTAGCCATGATGTCTAACACGGGTCTAACTTGAAACAAATCCAAATTGAGGAAATAAAATAAAAATGTATATTACTACCACGCTTTGAGTTTCCAGCTTTCAAACACGGTACAGACATGGCTGAACCTCGTAAGCCAATGGCTGTACAATGCATGCTGCCTTGTCCCTTCAACACAAAGGTGGTGACAGGTCTCCACCGAAAATGCCCCTGAAAAAAGTTAATATTAAGATGTCCCCCTCAAGGGACAGGGAGATGGCTTAATCAGTAAAACGCATGCCGCGCAACCATGATAACCTCAACCTTAGTTCAATGCCCAGATGCACATTTAAAAAGCCAAGCACAGTGGCGTGTGCTGGTAATTCCAGCCCTGGAGAGGTAGAGACAAGAGAGAGCCTGGGACACACTGGTCTGACAGATGAGTCAAACTGACAAGCTCCAGGCCCTAGTGAGAGACTTCTCAAAAGAAGTGCACAGCTCCTCAGGTTGGACTAGCCTCCAGCCTCTAAGGACACACACACATGCACCTTCACACACAGGAACACACACACACACACACACACACACACATGCACCTTCACACACAGGAACCAGCATACACACATACTCAGGAACCAACACACACACACACACACACACACACACATGCACCTTCACACACAGGAACCAGCATGCACACATACTCAGGAACCAACACACACTCACACACACACACACAAAAACACACACACAAAAGCACACACATGCATACATAAAACCTTCACACACAGGAACCAGCATGCACACATAATCAGGAACCAACACACACTCACACACACACAAAAACACACACACGCACACATAAAACCTTCACACACAGGAACCAGCATGCACACATACTCAGGAACCAACACACACACACATACACACACACACACACATACACATATACACACAGGAACATGCACACACACTCACATACACACACACATAAAACCTTCACACACAGGAACCAGCATGCACACATACACAGGAACAACCACACACAGGAGCATGCACATATACATACACAGGAACATGCATGCACACACACACACATACAGAAATATGCACCCACACATACACAGGGACATGCACACATACACACAGAGAAACATGCATACCCATACACAGGCAACAGCGTGCGCGCACACACACAGAAACATGCACACACACATACACAGGAACATGCACACACACGTATATATAGGAACATGCAAAAACACAAAAGTCTACCTGTCCAATTCCGGTTCTGGATGCTCTGGCTGAGAAACTAAGAGTGGAATTTGACTCCATGGAAAGTGTTTAGGACATGATGCAGTCACTGACCTCCAATGCTTGCTATCTTCTTACAGAGGAGTTCCAAATGAAGCTGTCAACTTTCCCAAGCTCCACACAGGCCAGTGAGATCCGCCCTGCAAACAAGAGTCTGTCACCTCACCAAGACGTGACACCTATGAAGCAGCCAGGAAGGAATTCCCCATTCTACTTCCTGGCACAGCAAATACCTGGGATCTTCTTAGCCAAATGCTGGAACTTAGAAGCACAGCCCCACCAAATCTGCATTTGGTGAACTGCCTGAATGGCACAATTGGGACAAAAAAAACTGACAAGAACACCTGCTATAGATGGAAATCCGAGGCTGCTGTCTCTTTTCACCTCTCCACGGTGATCAGTAGCCTTCCAGAATGAACAGAACAGAGCGTGCTGGCATCTTCGACTCCAGAAAGAGGATGGCAGACCGCACACATTTTCAGTCCAGCATAGTCCATTTCAATTGCTGCTATTTTGAGACCAGGTCTCGGGTAGCACAGGCTGCCCTTTACCTTTCTATGTAGGTGAGGATGACCTCGAACTACCGACCCTCTTGAATTCACCTTTCAAGAGCTGGGATTTCAGCCCTGCACCATCATGACTCCTTCATGTAGTGCTGGGGATTGAAACCAGGACTCAGCCCATGCTAGACAAGTTCTTGAATGCTCAAAGTTACCTGCATCCCCAGCCTTAGCAGGTTTCCTTTACAGGAGTACCTCGCACCCAAGAAGGCCAGAAGGAGATGTCCCATCCCCTGCAGCTGGAATTACAAGCAGCTGGAGCTGCCACATGGGCACTGGGAATTGAATCTTGGTCCTCTGGAAGAGCAGTAACTGCCTCTAACCACTTAGCCATCCCTCCGTTGCCTTCATTTAGTTTTCGACATGGGTTTCACCCAGACTGGCCTTGCATTTCTGAGATAAAGTGATCTTCCTGCCTCAGCTTCTCCAATATCTGGGACCACAGGTATGTTGCCACCACATGTAGTTATTCAGTATATAATTGGTTTAAATCTTTTATGTGGGGGGGGGTGGTCATGTGTCACAGAGCATGATGGAGGTCAGAGGACAACTTTGGAAGACAGGTCTCTCCTTCCACCATTTGGGTTCTTGGGATTAATCGCAGGTCCTCATGCTCGCACAAGCAACTCTCCCGGCTGAGTCACTTCACCCGTGCCCCCTCACACAATGTTAGCACTGGAAACTGAGGCATTTAAAAGCATGCTTCCCAAGCTCATACAAGGGAACCATTCAGTTCTTTCTCCTGCTAACCCAGCCCCTTCCTCAATGCCCAAACACCCTGAGCAGCGGCCCCAACCTCAATATCCTCCCCGTTTCCCAGAGGCGCCACCGTGCTAACTCACAGTTTAGTTTTCCCTTCCCCTGACAATGGCCATCTGTAAGAGGCCCTGGGCGCCTGGAATTTGAAATTGTTTTTCTTCCCTCTCTTCCTGAAGCCCAGATTGTTCCTAGGCTCTGGGATGCCCAGCCAGCACAGGCCTGACTCCCTGGCACCTCAGCTGCCTTGAGGACCCGGGTTTGTTTTTGCAGGATTGCTCATGAGCGATGGAGTGCTGGCGCTAGCCTCCTTGGGAGAGGAGCATGGCAGCTAGGCGTGTGTTTTCAGGGAAGTAAATAAACGGCAAGAGTAAACAGAAGACACACATACCCCACATCCTGATGGCAGAGCCCCAGGCTCCCCAGTCCTGACAGCTGATCCATCCTGACTGCCCTTCAGAGATGCACCCCAGAGCCAACTGTGGGCAGACAGTTGAAGCTTGGTGGGCAGACAGAAGCACCGAGCTAGGCTCGCCACGTGCTGCAAGTACACTGTGTACATCCTCTGCCTATGTGGTACAGGCTCCATCTACATCTGAAACCTCAGGAAAGCCAGGCCTGGATCTTAAGATGACGGCAGCGGGGGGCTAGGGCCATCAGCTCAGCCAGTAAAAGTTCCTTACAGCCACGATGGAAGGAGACAGCTGATTCTCTACAGCTGGCCTCTGACCGTCACCCAAGGCACATGACACTTGCATGCACACATCTGTATGTATGTATGTATGTATGTATGTATGTATGTATGTATGTGTGTGTATGTGTGTATATGTGCATGGCTGAATTCATGGTTGGAATAGGCACACTCCAGGTAGAGCACACGGGTGCCTGGGTATGCCTGTGCTGTCAACAACTTGTAGGTTCTTCTAAAACGTCTACCTCCTCCATATCTCAGTGCCTTGGACTGTACTTTTGTCTCTGCCTGGATTATCCTGCACATGCATGTGCACACACACACAAACACACACACACACACACACACACGTTGTCCTGCTCCCCGACTCTCACTCTCATCCTTCATGTTAGAGTTTAGGCATCAAGTTACAGGGAGATCTTTTCTTTCCTGGCAAAAGGAGAGGGGCCATCCACCTCTTCCTCTGTCTTGCCCACTTTCTTCAAATGTGCCTTATAGCTCTAACATGTATGTGCATGCCTGTGCATGTACGTGTGTTGTGTGTGCTTGTATATATTCATATATGTACTCAGATATGATATATATGTGGGCACACGTGTGTGCACTTGCACACAGAAGCTAGGCTTCCATGTTGGATGTCTCCCTCAATTGCCTTATGTTTGGGGGACAGGGTCTTTCAATGAACACTGAGTTTACTGAGCCAGCTAGACTGGCTGTCTATCGGGCCCCAGGGATCTGCCAGTCTCCACCTCCCTGGTGTGGAAGTTTCAGACGTAGCACACACACACACATGCTTTTCCATGGGTTCTGAAAGTGTAGGGAACTCAGCTCCTCCTCCTCACATCACAAGCTCTCTATTCACTGAGCCACCTCGGCAGTCCAATTTCTCGTCATTTGCTCTGTCACTTATGTGGGGGTTACTAACTGCCATAGCAGCACGGTGCCTAAAATTGGACTGGGACTCAATCAGTGTCTGCCCCTTTAATGAACTCATGGCCTTGCTTTGTCCAGGCTTAATTAGTTCAGGGAGGAGATCAAAAACAGCCACCAAAAGCCTTAATCATAGACCCGATTGGTAATTATATCTCCAGCTGAGCTTAGGTGATTAATAGATGACCAGAAAGTGGTGGGAAGATGCAGAGCCCCAAAGGCCGGTCAAACAAAGGATCTGCAGCCAGAAGGGACCCCCACAAAACTCAGGTTGTGTCATTTGGGGTCAGCACAAGTCATAATACCCATGACATCTCACATGCCTGTATCTGCTTGGAATCCTCCTACTCTTCTAAGTGTATATTTGCAAACATATCTAAGCTAGGTAAGAATTAAACTGCAGAGTGGATGGGAAAAAGCCTTACAACTGACAACTAAATACACAGGAATCCACAACTAAATTCTACAAGTATATGAAGGACATGACTCTACCATGGCTAGCTCACCAGCTTGCACAGAAAACAAAAAAATAACCTCTGTGAAATAATTCAAGGAACCTATAAATTCATAAAATAATATCCATTAACTTTTATAAGTGCTTTGGAGGTCAAAGTGAGTCAGTGTTAGAGGGAAAAAGGAAACAAGACTTTTTGCTAAGGCCTTTAAGAGAAGGACTGGAGAAAGGTTAGCACCCAACTTTTTAAAGTTTTAGAATGAGAGTCAAGAATGTGACTCTGTTGACAGAGTGCTTGCCTAGCATACATGAAGCTCTGAGTCTGATCCCCAGTTAAACTGAGTTAAACTGGGCATAGTGGGCATAACCCTCACCTCTAATCCCAGAGCCCAGGAGACAGAGGAAAGTGGATCTTAGTGAGTTAGAGGCTAGTCTACATAGTAAGTTGCAGGACAGCCAGGGCTAGATAGTGAGACCCTGTCTCAAAATACAATAGGTAGATATATGATGATAGATATAGACAGATGACAGAGAAATGGCAGATGATAGATATAGACAGATGACAGAGAAATGACACATGATAGATAGAGAGATAGATAGATAGATAGATAGATAGATAGATAGATAGATAGATAGATAGATTTTTAAAAGAAAGAATCAGAAATTCAAGGTCACTATCAGCTATACAGTAAGTTCAAGGCCAGTCCAGACTACAATACCTCAAAATCAATAAACAAAGTTTTAGAATGGAAAGATGGATTTGTTTTGTCATTAAGTCTAAATCTTATTTACAAGTGCTGAAAGTGAGTAGGGCACTCCAGACATCTGAGCTCTAATTTTAGCAGAGCTCTGGAGATACCTGGACTCCTGTTCATTCCACTGCAAAATTCAGGTCATTTGAGAAAGAGGTGGGGCCAACCATCAGCTGAGGGAGTGAGAGAGCAGGATGTGGTAGGGGCTACGGCAATGGGACAAGACTAGGAGTGCAGAGACGTGACAAGAAAGGACTGGAGGTGGACCGAGGGTGGCCAGTGGCTGCTTCCCTCATAGAGGATCCTTATTTTGGGCCTGTTGACTTTGCCAAGCAGCACCTGAGTCATCTCCTTCAAGACTAGTGACCAACCCAAACAGAGGAACTCAAACACTGCTCCTGTCCCCTGGGCATCGTGGGTTCCCACTAAATATGCACATCCTGTTGACAGGTTTGATTCTGATACTGGCCCTTTAAGTGGGAGATGGGGTGTCTTATGTGTACTCTTCCATTGTGTCTTCTCCTTGCTAGGGGGTGCAGAGCAGGAGATGAGATCAATACGTTTTTCTTAGAGATAGCAAGCATTGCTACTAACAATCCTTCTGTTGACATGGAGACAAGAAACAGCTGGGCTGGAAGGACGTGGCAGTGAGTCAAAAGGTAGCATGGTCTTGCCATTTTTCCCTCTCCCTTTTGCTGGTTGCAACTATGCCCCAGTATAGTGGCATTCACCGTGGGTGTGGTCCCCTTTCTCCAGCCTCCCCAGAGAAGCCTGGATGCCAGCTCTGCTTCACAGCCACATGATCTTGTACATGACTTTGACTTCACTGAGCCACACCCTCCTCCGCGTTAACTCAAGGCAGTGCTCAGCACCGTGTGTGTGAAGACAGGTGCTCCATAAGCATCATTCTTCACTGCTTCCTGAAAACAAAGCGACCCCACGAGGGCTGGGGAGATCGTTCAGCTAACAAAATGCTTACCTTGCAAGCATGA